AACTTCCATCTATAAATGGATTTATGTTCACATTGTATACATTAAACATGAGTGTGACAGTACAGAAGAATATGGGTTCACATTGTATACATTAAACATAAGTGTGACAGTATAGAAGAATATGTGTTCACATCGTTCATATTAAACATAAGTGTGACAGTACAGAAGAATCTGTGTTCACATCGTTCATTTTAAACATAAGTGTGACAGTACAGAAGAATATGTGTTCACATAGTTCATATTACACATAAGTGTGACAGTACAGAAGAATATGTGTTCACATAGTTCATATTAAACATAAGTGTGACAGTACAGAAGAATATGTGTTCACATCGTTCATATTAAACATAAGTGTGACAGTACAGAAGAATATGTGTTCACATAGTTCATATTAAACATAAGTGTCACAGTACAGAAGAATATGTGTTCACATCATTCATATTAGACATAAGTGTGACAGTACAGAAGAATATGTGTTCACATCGTTCATATTAAACATAAGTGTGACAGTACAGAAGAATATGTGTTCACATCATTCATATTAGACATAAATGTGACAGTACAGGAGAATATGTGTTCACATCATTTATATTAAACATAAGTGTGACAGTACAGGAGAATATGTGTTCACATTGTACACATTAAACATGAGGGTGACAGTACAGAAGAATATGTGTTCACATCGTTCATATTAAACATAAGTGTGACAGTACAGAAGAATATGTGTTCACATCGTTCATATTAAACATAAGTGTGACAGTACAGAAGAATATGTGTTCACATCGTTCATATTAGACATAAATGTGACAGTACAGGAGAATATGTGTTCACATTGTACACATTAAACATGAGGGTGACAGTACAGGAGAATCTGTGTTCACATTGTACACATTAAACATGAAGGTGACATTACAGAAGAATCTGTGTTCACAGGGTACACATTAAACATGAGGGTGACAGTACAGGAGAATCTGTGTTCACAGGGTACATATTAAACACCTTTAAAGATAAAGGTGACCATTCAGGAGGATACATGTTCACACTGTACACATTAAAGATAAAGATACAGGAGGATACATGTTCACACTGTACACATTAACAGATAAGTGATATCAAACTCATTGTCACTTCCGAACACATCTGTTTGTACAGTCAGTTTTAATCCAGACGTTTACTAGAAGAATTGTGTTCACAGAATATGTTCACATTGTCATATTATAAGGTGTGACAGTACAGAAGAATATGTGTGTTAAACATATTAAACATTAGTGTGACAGTACAGAAGAATATGTGTTCACATCGTTCATATTAAACATAAGTGTGACAGTACAGAAGAATATGTGTTCACATCGTTCATATTAAACATAAGTGTGACAGTACAGAAGAATATGTGTTCACATCGTTCATATTAAACATAAGTGTGACAGTACAGAAGAATATGTGTTCACATCGTTCATATTAAACATAAGTGTGACAGTACAGAAGAATATGTGTTCACATGTTCACATAAGTTCATATTAAACATAAGTGTGACAGTACAGAAGAATATGTGTTCACATCGTTCATATTAAACATAAGTGTGACAGTACAGAAGAATATGTGTTCACATAGTTCATATTAAACATAAGTGTGACAGTACAGAAGAATATGTGTTCACATAGTTCATATTAAACATAAGTGTGACAGTACAGAAGAATATGTGTTCACATAGTTCATATTAAACATAAGTGTGACAGTACAGGAGAATATGTGTTCACATCGTTCATATTAAACATGAGTGTGACAGTATAGAAGAATATGTGTTCACATAGTTCATATTAAACATAAGTGTGACAGTACAGGAGAATATGTGTTCACATCGTTCATATTAAACATAAGTGTGACAGTACAGGAGAATCTGTGTTCACATCGTTCATATTAAACATAAGTGTGACAGTACAGAAGAATATGTGTTCACATCGTTCATATTAGACATGAGTGTAACAGTACAGAAGAATATATGTTCACATAGTTCATATTAAACATGAGTGTGACAGTACAGAAGAATATGTGTTCACATAGTTCATATTAAAGATGAGGGTGACAGTACAGAAGAATATGTGTTCACATCGTTCATATTAGACATGAGGGTGACAGTACAGAAGAATATGTGTTCACATCGTTCATATTAAACATGAGTGTGACAGTACAGAAGAATATGTGTTCACATCGTTCATATTAAACATAAGTGTGACAGTACAGAAGAATATGTGTTCACATAGTTCATATTAAACATAAGTGTGACAGTACAGATGAATATGTGTTCACATCGTTCATATTAAACATAAGTGTGACAGTACAGAAGAATATGTGTTCACATAGTTCATATTAAACATAAGTGTGACAGTACAGATGAATATGTGTTCACATCGTTCATATTAAACATAAATGTGACAGTACAGAAGAATATATGTTCACATCGTTCATATTAAACATAAGTGTGACAGTACAGAAGAATATATGTTCACATCGTTCATATTAGACATAAGCGTGACAGTACAGAAGAATATGTGTTCAAATCGTTCATATTAAACATAAGTGTGACAGTATAGAAGAATATGTGTTCACATCGTTCATATTAAACATGAGGGTGACAGTACAGGAGAATATGTGTTCACATCGTTCATATTAGACATAAGTGTGACAGTACAGAAGAATATGTGTTCACATCGTTCATATTAAACATGAGTGTGACAGTACAGCAGAATATGTGTTCACATCGTTCATATTAAACATAAGTGTGACAGTACAGGAGAATATGTGTTCACATAGTTCATATTAGACATAAGTGTGACAGTACAGAAGAATATGTGTTCACATCGTTCATATTAAACATAAGTGTGACAGTACAGGAGAATATGTGTTCACATCGTTCATATTAAACATAAGTGTGACAGTACAGAAGAATATGTGTTCACATTGTATACATTAAACATGAGTGTGACAGTACAGAAGAATATGTGTTCACATCGTTCATATTAAACATAAGTGTGACAGTACAGGAGAATATGTGTTCACATCGTTCATATTAAACATAACTGTGACAGTACAGGAGAATATGTGTTCACATCGTTCATATTAAACATAAGTGTGACAGTATAGAAGAATATGTGTTCACATCGTTCACATTAAACATAAGTGTGACAGTATAGAAGAATATGTGTTCACATCGTTCACATTAAACATAAGTGTGACAGTATAGAAGAATATGTGTTCACATCGTTCATATTAAACATAAGTGTGACAGTACAGGAGAATATGTGTTCACATCGTTCATATTAAACATAAGTGTGACAGTACAGAAGAATATGTGTTCACATCGTTCATATTAAACGTAAGTGTGACAGTACAGGAGAATATGTGTTCACATCGTTCACATTAAACATAAGTGTGACAGTATAGAAGAATATGTGTTCACATCGTTCATATTAAACATAAGTGTGACAGTACAGGAGAATATGTGTTCACATCGTTCATATTAAACATAAGTGTGACAGTACAGAAGAATATGTGTTCACATTGTATACATTAAACATGAGTGTGACAGTACAGAAGAATATGTGTTCACATTGTATACATTAAACATGAGTGTGACAGTACAGAAGAATATGTGTTCACATCGTTCATATTAAACATAAGGGTGACAGTACAGAAGAATATGTGTTCACATTGTATACATTAAACATTAGTGTGACAGTACAGAAGAATAAGTGTTCACATCGTTCATATTAAACATAAGTGTGACAGTACAGGAGAATATGTGTTCACATCGTTCATATTAGACATAAATGTGACAGTACAGGAGAATATGTGTTCACATCGTTCATATTAGACATAAATGTGACAGTACAGGAGAATATGTGTTCACATCGTTCATATTAAACATAAGTGTGACAGTACAGAAGAATATGTGTTCACATCGTTCACATTAAACATAAGTGTGACAGTACAGAAGAATATGTGTTCACATCGTTCACATTAAACATAAGTGTGACAGTATAGAAGAATATGTGTTCACATCGTTCATATTAAACATAAGTGTGACAGTACAGAAGAATATATGTTCACATCGTTCATATTAGACATAAGCGTGACAGTACAGAAGAATATGTGTTCAAATCGTTCATATTAAACATAAGTGTTACAGTACAGAAGAATATATGTTCACATCGTTCATATTAGACATAAGTGTGACAGTACAGGAGAATATGTGTTCACATTGTACACATTAAACATGAGGGCGACAGTACAGAAGAATCTGTGTTCACATTGTACACATTAAACATGAGGGTGACAGTACAGGAGAATCTGTGTTCACAGGGTACATATTAAACACCTTTAAAGATAAAGGTGACCATTCAGGAGGATACATGTTCACTCTGTACACATTAAAGATAAAGATACAGGAGGATACATGTTCACACTGTACACATTAAAAATAAAGATACAGGAGGATACATGTTCACACTGTACACATTAAAGATAAAGATACAGGAGGATACATGTTCACACTGTACACATTAAAGATAAAGATACAGGAGGATACATGTTCACACTGTACACATTAAAGATAAAGATACAGGAGGATACATGTTCACACTGTACACATTAAAAATAAAGATACAGGAGGATACATGTTCACACTGTACACATTAAAGATAAAGATACAGGAGGATACATGTTCACACTGTACACATTAACAGATAAGTGATATCAAACTCATTGTCACTGTCCGAACACATCTGTTTGTACATGTCTTAACCCATCAGTTTTAATCCAAGACTTATCTCTATGCACAACTCGGCATATCTTAATCTGGATCTTACTCAACCTGGCTCAAATCCCTGCTTGTTTTCCGTTCAATGTCTTATTTGTGTAGCTGTATCTGCTATGTGTGCTTATATGTCATCACAGAATCTACGTAAGTGAAAAAACATCAAATGTGTACGTGAAACTACTACATACATGTACAGGTGACCCTCCCCTTCTTCAATGAGGCTGACATCAGAGAGACAGGCGCTGAAACAGAACGGTGCAACATGATGCAACAAAGAAGCATGCTGTGACTACACCAACAGTGTGGCATGAGGGGAAACAACAACACAAAATGCATTCTTAGTAGTTGATACTGGGGAGAACGTACACATGCACAACCAACTGTAGCAAATCATATGCATGCAACTGAATATAAGGAAATAAGTTGGAGAGATGAAAGACTCAGAAGGAGGGTGGGAATGACAGAGACAGTGAAAGAAAGGGGAGAGAGAGGCACTAGGGGGGGGGGGGGGTGTCAGAGTAAGGAAAGGGTAGAGAGGAATATAAGAGTAAGAGAAATATGGAAAGAATGAGAAGAAAGAAAGAGTGAGGGTAGGACAGGAAAAAAAGAGTAGTCAGGGTGATGGGAAAAAATCAGGAAAAAAAAAGAGAAGTATGAACAGATAGAAAAATCAGTGAGAGAAGGGTGAAGAGAAAGAGAAGCAAGAGTGATGGATGAGTACAAGTCAAAGAAGTTGCAGTAGATAAACGTGAAGGCTGAATAGAGAGAGAGAGAGAAAAAAAAGAGAGACAAACAGAATGGAGACAGAAATTTGAGTGCAATAGGATAGACAGAAAGAGTAGTCGCAGTGAGGGAAAGACAGCGAGGAAGAAAGGAAGATGAAAAGTTGGAAGGGAGAAGTCAGAGGGGAAAGAAAGAGGATTCAGTAATACAGAAGTGGGAAGGAGATATGAAAAATGAAGGTTAAAGGAGAAAGTAGGTAAGGAGAGAGAGAGAGAGACGAGAACAGAGTTACAATTGATCAATCATTCTCTTTATAACATGCAGCTTAAACAGTTAACTGTTATGCTGCAAACCAGGTGTTACATCAGCTCACAATGTTTCAGTCTTAAATGATTATCATTATATTAAGATCTTCAACTCTTGTGTGATTCCAGTGCTAACTTATAGATGCAAGAGTTGGAAAGAAACTATAGCTCTAGATTTTTGTTAAATTACACAATTCTGAGAACAGCTGTCTCAGAAGAATACTAAATCTCCACTGAATAGATTTCAGATCAAATTCGCAAATATACAAGAGACCAAAAAAGTCGCAAATATACAAGAGACCAAAAAAGATAATGTATTCAATTATAAAAGAAAGTGCCGCTGAAACTACTTTGGCGATGCACTCAGAATGGATAAGACCAGGACTGTCCCATCAAGCCCTTATATAGATATTGGAAGGGAAAAGACAAAGGGGAAGACCGAGAGAGACCCTGTATATAGAACCATCATCAGACTCAGCCATGGGCTTAAAAATATCCAAGACCTAAAACAGGTGGCAACGAACAGCTAGACATGGAGAGCTATGACCTCGGCCCTATTCGCCACCCCTAGGCCCTATGCGCCACCCCTAGGCCCTATCCGCCACCCCTCGGCCCTATGCGCCACCCCTAGGCTCAGGAGGAAAAACTAACTAACTAATGGGAGCAGTGAGAGTTAAGCCTCACAAGGACTGCAAACTCAGCGACTAACACTAGTGACCCAAAGATTCGCCATCTGGATGAGAATCCGCCAGCTTCAAATCCCAGAAACTTGTTTCAACCACATGGTTATAACCTATAATCGGGCCTCCAACAATAATGAATAAACCTTAGTCTGGACAAACTAATGTATATGGGAGGAGAGGAAGTGCAGGCTGGTATGCTTGCCTGGCAAACCAGTGATCGCTAAGTTAAAATACTTATATGAAAGTGATCTTTAAAACTGATCTGGGCTCCCGTGTGAAATGGATACCAGGAATTATTCTGGGAAGTCTACTCCTTCTCTGCATTCACAGACTGTCAACCCCAGCAAAAGTTCTGGTTGTTCTCCATCTCTGGGTTTAAGTCTTGTTCCATAACACTGTATGCAGACTGCTGATGCCTCAGGCAGATGCACTCCGACTGAGACATCCCCAATTAGTCGACTCTTGCGACATGCTTGTTGGGAAGGCAGTGGGTCTATTCTTGTTTTCCCTACAATGGGGCCCTGGAACCCACACGGGGAATTATGGGTGGTAAAGGTGGTTTAGCCTTGTCTCCCCCAAGAAAGTCTGTTTTGTGACTTTAATGGGTTTTTGACGATATGACATTTTTGGGGGCAGTGGCTAAAATACGTAATTTTTGCTTCGGTGCTGGCTGCACTTGCACAGTATAAGTAGATGTAGTCATCGTCATCAAGTGCCTTGCCAGCTGGCATAGGCGTTCCTGCACCTCCACAGATCTCGGTCTTTGGTGTTCTGGATCAATTCCACTGATGATCTTCCTCCATGCCACTGTCTCAAGCCATCCACCATTGTTTCTCTTGGTCTGCCTCTTCTACCAGTGATCTTTCCAGTCATCACAATATTTTCCAGTGCCCCTTTTCTCATCATATGACCCCAAAAATTGTGTTTGTCTCCCTCTCATTGTTGTATACAGTGTTCTACTTTCATTAGCCATCTCCAGGTAATCACTGTTAGTTATTCTGGCAGTCTAACGTATTCGCAACATTCTTCTCAACAACCACATATCAGTTGCCTCCATCTTCCCCCGTGTGGGTTCCGGGGCCCCATTGTGGGGAAAACAAGAATAGACCCACTGCCTCCCCAAAAGCATGTCGTAAGAGTCGACTAATTGGGGAGCTTCCTTTGAAGTCGGAGTGCATCTGCCGGAGAGGCAAGGAACCAACAGTCCTAATTCAAGAGAATGAGATCTGTAAAACTGATGCACATGCAACACTCAGGTTCTGGAGCGGGACTGCAGTTCAGTAGTGGACGATCAACCAGAACTTTCCGCCAGAGTGTACAGCTGGTGAACGCGAAGAAGAAGAAGAAGTTACCTCCAAACTCGTAGACGTAGTAAAAAGTAAAGGACTCTGTTCCACGCTTTGAGGCGTATTGGGTATATAGGGCTAGACCTATATTTTATAGACCCAACTTGGTGGGTGATGCAGGCCACCTTTACTTCCCAGTACTGGAGCTGGTACCCACTCAAGGCTGGGTCGACCTGGGAGCCAAGGTCATTTTTGGGACAAAAAAGTCCAGCCCCCGTCAGTACCTGAACCGATGACCTTCCGATCCGCAGGCAAGCATCTAGCAGCTAGACCACGGCGGCTCTCCCTTAGACATGGTAGGTATGATTATATTTATAAATGAAATGTTCTATATTTGTCACCTGGTCAATGGCTCTTTTTTTTTTAAAGGACTGTTCCAGGAGTCCCGCAGGTTTATGACCCTGTATTTCTGTTAATTGTGGTAAAAGATTCATGCATCATCTAGCAGGGAGTGAAGTAGTTAATACTATCAATGCAAGCATCTAGTAATTCCTACAGTAACTCCCTTATTTACAGTAGTAGGCAACAAATAGTGACATAGGCTTCAAATGGTGACAACTGTGAACTTGGAACAAAACCGCAAAAGGCTGTGAGTCAGTATCATAAAATTGAGGATGAAACACATACACAGTGAGCTCTTTAGAAATAAAACTGATTTGGGTTGCATAAGTGATGCATAAAGAAGTGACACATACTGAATGACATAAATGGCCATAGGATGACACCAAGTGAATTATAAGAATGGTCCAATATATGTGCGCATGTGTGCTTATATATATATGTATACATACACACACAATATATATATATACACACAAATAAATGGTCCAATATATGTGCGTGTATTTATAAATACACACATATACATGGTCCAATATATGTGCGTGTGTTGTATGTGTATATATATATTCACACACACATATATATACACAAACATAAATATATATAAACAGAAAACACTGATGCGTAAAAGGGAAACATTTTGAATAATGACAATATTACGCAACAGAAAGAGTCTACAAAAGTATGGAAGACTAAACGGTCAATGTTTACCTCAGACTGCCCTTGCTGGATTTGTAAAACTGACACTGCAGGTGTGCCATCCTGGAGACATACTTGGCTGTGTCCGAGTCTTCCTGCACAACAATAAACATCTACATGTTGTGACGTTTCCTCAACACAAATGTTTAACATTAACGTAACTGGATTAAAACAAAGGTTTAACATAAAATAAATACTTAATGTAGACATTGTGTAGATAAAGATGGAGGAACTGATAGAGATATTAAAATAAGAATACAAAAGGCAAGAGGGGCTTTCATAGCACTAGAGAATTTGTGGAGGTCAAAAGAAATTAAAAGAAATACTAAACTAAAAATTTTTAATTCTAATGTCAAATCAGTACTATTGTATGGGGCGGAAACATGGAGAACAACCAAGGCAATTACAAATAAATTACAGACATTCATTAACTGGTGCCTGCGCAGAATAGAGGGAATAAAATGGTATGATAGAATAACTAATGTAGAACTTTGGGAGAGAACTAAACAGGCTCCAGTGGATCAGGAGGTGAGGAAAAGACGCTGGCGTTGGATAGGGCACACACTGAGAAAACAGGAGAACAGCATAACTAGAATGTCTTTGCATTGGAACCCACAGGGGCATAGGAATAAAGGAAGGCCAAAAAACACATGGAGAAGAGAGCTGGAGAATGAGGTTAGAAAGATTGGGAGGACATGGGGAGAGCTCCATGCAATGGCGAAGGATAGAACGACTTGGCGTGAGTTGGTTGAGGGCCTATGCTCCATTGGGAAATAGAAAGGCAGAAGAAGAAGAAGAAGTAGACATTGCTGGATTAACAGGAATAAAAATCAAAAGCTATCTAACATCAACAGAGGTGGATAAGATGGATGTTTAGCATACTCAAGATTTTCCCACGAAGCACCGAAAGATGGTGGACAGCCTTCTTCTGTTGAAAGTGATCAATGCTCTGTGTGAGTTATGTTACAAGATATTTCGTGCTTGCACCTTCAGTCCCTGGAGACCATGACTTTGTGCCACTGGTTTTGGGATCAGCGTCTGCTATGACTTTGAAGTCATATGCCGAAGTGGCAGTCTCTGCCCTATAGATATTGATAAAATACACTGGGGCTGGTTTTTTTCCTCTCAGATGTCTCCTTTCTACAGCATGCTGCTTCAATCCACTTGCAACAGTCCGTCTTTCACTGTCTTCCTTCATAGGAGTCAGTCTGCACTGATCTATCACTGGGGGGTGGAATGGTGTCACTGCTGGTGTATCTTTTAGGCTGCATTTGCACTGTCCTTAAAATGTCACTATGGCCTTCCTGTAGGAATTTCTGTTTCCAGTTCCCCATAAGGAGATCCTTCAGAATATAACCATCCTCCATGCAGGAGACATGTCCCAACCAGCACAGGCATCTTTGCTTCAGTAAGACACATTCATTATGTTTTTCTCTGTCCATGCATCATCATTATTTTTATAAAACTGCATCTCTGAGCAGTCACATAATTTCTCAGTAATCTGCTGAATCTTTGTGATTCATTATGTTTTAACAGTACTGGCTCTATATAACTGCTTCTTAGAGAAATTTTAACATGATTCAAAGGAAGTTGAATTCAAGTTCTTAATGTGTGACCAGAGTGAAACATTTATATCTTAATATAAATGTAACTTTTACCTCATCTACTTATCTGAGTGTTATAATCCTGCAATAATGTAGATGTCATGGTAGAGGACAAACCAATACAAGTAAACAGACTATTTCACTTATTTGGGTAGCAAGTTTGACTCTCAAGAACATACAACAAAGGAAATTATGGTATGCACTGGCAAAGCAACAACAGTCTCAAAAAGCTTCAACAAAATATGAAGCTACGAATCTTACATTCAGCTGAGAAACATAACCGTGTGGGTTCTCTGGCCCTATTATAGGGAAAACAAGAACAGACCCACTGCCTACCCAAAAGCATGTCGTAAGAGTCGACTAATTGGGAGATTCCTTTGAAGTCAGAGTGCATCTGCCTGAGAGGCAAGGAACCAACAGTCTGCATACAAATTAGGCAGATCTGTCAAACGGATGCACACGCACCACTCAGGTTGAGGAACAGGACTGCAGTCCAGAAGTGGACGAACAGCCAGAACTTTCCGCGGGAGTTTACAGCCGGTGAACGAGAAGAAGAAGAAGAAGAAGTTCTAACATATATCAGTGAGAACTGGAGAACCACGAAAGATATGGAATGAAAGTTAAATGTGTTTAAAAATAAATATCTGAGAAAAATTGTGAACATAAAATGGGATGAATAAAAGTCAGGGGATCAGAGAAATGTCGGGACAAATGCCTGTATAGACTGCAATAAGACAAAGAAGATGGAGATATATTGGCCAAACTCTTGAGACACAATGAGTAAAGAGTTACAAAACAAACACTAAAACGGGAAACAAACGGTCTGAGAAAAAGAGGACGCCCAAGGAAAACATTAAGAAGAACATTATTTCGAGAGGCAAGAAATGCTGGGCTCAACTCCATGTCAGAAATCGAGAGAGTTGCATGCAGTAGAGCTGAGTGGAGGAATCGAATGCGAGCCCTATGTAATATTTAAAGGCACACAAAGTATGATGATGATGATAATCCTCAGATGAAAGGTTATGCATGTGAATGTAAGGAAAGGAGGCTGATAGACGGCTAGGCTCAAGGCTGATAGACGGCTAGGCTCAAGGCTGATAGACGGCTAGGCTCAAGGCTGATAGACGGCTAGGCTCAAGGCTGATAGACGGCTAGGCTCAAGGCTGATAGACGGCTAGGCTCAAGGCTGATAGACGGCTAGGCTCAAGGCTGATAGACGGCTAGGCTCAAGGCTGATAGACGGCTAGGCTCAAGGCTGATAGACGGCTAGGCTCAAGGCTGATAGACGGCTAGGCTCAAGGCTGATAGACGGCTAGGCTCAAGGCTGATAGACGGCTAGGCTCTATAGCATGGCTCAATGTGTGCATGTGAACATCATGAAGTTACTGAGCACATCAAGAAGAGCAAGATGAATCCGTTTCAGAGATGGGCCAGTGACAGATGTGATGTTTCATGACATATTATCAGAAAAGAAATACTGGCTATCCTCCGAACTTCGGGCACTAAAGATGGCGGCAGCAAATATCCTTTTGAGCCACAGTCACGTGTCAACTGCGTACTTACGGCGGCTTAATTTGCGGTTCTCCGGCGACTACCGCCACCGCCACGAGGACCCCACGCCACTCACGCGGTGTGGATTGGGGCTAAACTAGATGGCTAGGACCCACGAGCAGCAGCTTCCGCATCTCCTGAAGCTTTGCTCGTGAGTCCTAGCCATCTAGTTTAGCCACAATCCAAGCCGCGGGGCCTCTTGGCGGCGGCGGTAGTCGCCAGAAAACCACAGGAGAACCGCAAATTAAGTCACGTGACTGTGGCTCGAAAGGATATTTTGCGGCCGCCATCTTTAGTGCCCAAAGTTCGGAGGATAGCCCTAATACTAGTCCCATGACTGTAGTGGTCTGGCTTCGGACCATATGGATTAAATCTAGACCAGTGGTTCTCAGCCTTCCTAATGCTGCAACCCTTTAATACAGTTCATCATGTTGTGGTGACCCTTTAATACAGTTCCTCATGTTGTGGCTACCCTTTAATACAGTTCTTCATGTTGTGGCAACCCTTTAATACAGTTCCTCATGTTGTGGCAACCCTTTAATACAGTTCCTCATGTTGTGGCAACCCTTTAATACAGTTCCTCATGTTGTGGCAACCCTTTAATACAGTTCCTCATGTTGTGGCAACCCTTTAATACAGTTTCTCATGTTGTGGTGACCCTTTAATACAGTTCCTCATGTTGTGGCAACCCTTTAATACAGTTCCTCATGTTGTGGTGACCCTTTAATACAGTTCCTCATGTTGTGGCAACCCTTTAATACAGTTCCTCATGTTGTGGCAACCCTTTAATACAGTTCCTCATGTTGTGGCAACCCTTTAATACAGTTCCTCATGTTGTGGCAACCCTTTAATACAGTTCCTCATGTTGTGGTGACCCTTTAATACAGTTCCTCATGTTGTGGTGACCCTTTAATACAGTTCCTCATGTTGTGGTGACCCCAAATGATAAAATTATTTTCATTGCTACATCATAACTTCATTGAATATGTGTTTTTTTTTTTTTAATGATCTTAGGCGACCCCTGTGAAAGGGTTGTTCGACCCCCAAAGGGGTCGCGACCCACAGGTTAAGCACCGCTGATCTATACCGAACGTAGCCAGTTGAGTGTTGAGCTAAGAATTGACATCACAGCACTCAGGGCATACCCATAAGCGCTCTGTCCTCATCTTCAGCAGCCAGCAAAGAATTCTAATCCTGAGGTGTCAGCAGCAGTCTGATTATATGTCCACCTTTCCTTTCCTCTGAGGGTAGAGTCCTTTGATGTAGATTCTTAATTCAACATAGCAAAAATGTGGGTTTTTTTCCACACAAACTCAATTTTCAGATCCTTGGAATTATTGTTAATGAAGGTTTACTATACTGAAAACCAAACATACAAAAAACAGATCCGGGCACTAACCAACTGAAACTGCACTGAACTCTTAGGGGTGTCAATCTCCAATGTTTTTTTGTTCTGCGTAACCTTGGCGATCTCTGCCCACCTGTAGAAAACACAAATAATGCAACTGAAAAATTAATTCCACACCACAAAGGTGTGCTCTTATCCTTCTCTTATTCTGCCTGTTACTTCAGAATGAAGCATTAGGCCCTCTACCTTCACCTGTTGCTGATCCATCACAAGTTATGAAAACCACTTCAGGTCGCACACAAAAAAGTCAATGATCACTGATTATAAGTATAAAGATGAGACAAAATAAGGTCAGAAAAGACTATAGGAAACAAGTTTTGATGGAAACATTACTAAGCTACATCAAGAGATAACAGATAGAATGGTTTGGATATGTGTCAAGACTACAACCAGATAATGCACCAGAGACAGCCCTGTCATCACTCAGATTCAGTGGAAGAACTAGAGGTCAACCCCACAGGGATGGATAGATAGAATATCTGAGGCCATAAATACCAGCATCTTCAAAGCACATACGAAGGCTCACACCTGACACCTCTTCAAAATCTGATGCTGAAGTGCAAAACAGCACAACCAGTTTGATGAGAACATTCTCAGCTTAAAGAGTTCTTGATCAGTGCATACAGCAGATGTAAGAGATGTGATTTGCCATACGGTTCTCTTTAGCCTGTCCCCATTTATCTGTCAGTGCAACCGCTGCTTCCTGGTAGGCTGATGCAACATGTTAGAGGACTCACCTAAGCCTTCATATTTGTTACGTTAGCTGGCTTTTGCGAGGAGGCCACTCACAGAATGGGGAAGCCAACGTCAAGTCCAGTCCTACCGTTATTCACCTTTTAAGCCATGCTTGGTAGGGTGCCTGTTATGACAAGCATGGCAGGGTGCAGTGCTACTATTCTTTGCTTGCCCTAAAATCTCAGACAGCACAGAGGCTAAAGTCAATGCACACACACTTTATACGCTTGAATTCCATAATATTTTTGTCATAGGGAAGAATAGATCTGTTTTTTATACCCACAAAAATGGGGCCCCGGACCCGGACAGGGAATGTCTTCACAGCTTGACGATATTCTGACTTGACACTGGCTGCAGACAGAATTCTTACATTTCACTAGTTTCAGGCTGCAGACAGAATTCTTCCATTTCACTAGTTTCAGGCTGCATACAGAATTCTTCCATTTCACTAGTTTCAGGCTGCAGACAGAATTCTTCCATTTCAACACAGTTTCAGGCTGCAGACAGAATTCTTACATTTCACTAGTTTCAGGCTGCAGACAGAATTCTTCCATTTCACTAGTTTCAGGCTGCAGACAGAATTCTTCCATTTCACTAGTTTCAGGCTGCAGACAGAATTCTTCCATTTCAACACAGTTTCAGGCTGCAGACAGAATTCTTCCATTTCACTAGTTTCAGGCTGCAGACAGAATTCTTCCATTTCAACACAGTTTCAGGCTGCAGACAGAATTATTCCAGTTCACCACAGTTTCAGGCTGCAGACAGAATTCTCTAAATTCACCAGTTTCAGAGTGCAGATAGAATTCTTCCATTTTACCACTGTTTCAGAGTATACCTGGCTTGAGATAGCAATTTTTTACCCACAATTCCTGGTTGCAGATAAAATTATGTTATTTGTCCACAACTCCCGACAGCTGCAGCTCTATATGTGAAGTACCGTCTAATTAAGGATTTGCTGATATCAGATGTGCCGGGCCAAAAGACACAGATATCACTGCCTAGCTGTAAACCACAACACAGTGTGCTAAATGCCCTTCTACAGGCGAATGCAGAAGAAGAAGAAGAAGAAGAAGAAAGAGTGACAAAATGACAGAAGAGTTATTATATCTGCAGGTCTGGATATCTTTAAGTTAATCTTAGACATGGACAATTCTCGGGTCCTTACTTGTAGTACACTGTAGACTGTCCATCCACATAGCGGGCAAAGATTCCTGCGTGTGACGTGCCGAGATACAGGTCCTTCCGTGACTCATCCTGAGGTCATGGAACAAAAAAAAAACATGAACAAAACTCAAATTTGTGGTCACCCAGATAGAGATATGAGGAAATATTATGGACAAGAAAATTTTTTATAACATAATTTTGAATGTAAAGGGTATATTCTGAATGTTGTAAATATTTCATAGCTATTTTATCTATATCATGGGTTACACCCTATTTCTGGTGTAAAGACAAAGGTCACAAACCATTCCTGGTTTACTGACGTGGCACACACAACAAGAAACCAGCAGTGGCTGAGCAACAATCAGACCTGTGTGGGGTTCTAATCACAATGTGGCAGTGAGTGCAGGGACTGGCCAGCGGGCAATACAGAATCAGGAGTTCATCATAAGATTCATGACAATTCCCACCCAGGTGATGCGATTATCTATACAGACTACTCTGTGTTGAGAGGCAGATAAAGTGCATGGGGGTTCTAGCAAAAGAGAATGGATGTCACTTAATGCAACAAAGCCTGACATATGATACCACATCTAATCTGAGAATGGAGGTGGAGGCAGTCACTGCTGCCTTCTGCTAGCTTGAGAACCAGCTGTACACATGTCATAATTGACTCAACAGCATGTTGAGAAAAGTGGAGAAAGGTATGCTCTGTGCAGAATGGCAGGCATCGCTTTAGAGGTACCGAGTGATAAGCATTTTTCAGATATTTTCTCCAGGTCATGCCGTTGTGTTCAGTACCAAAAAGGTAGACAGACTAGCTGGTTCCACATAACATGGTGGTAAACTAATGCACGACAAGCTACATGTTCTAAGGGTCATTTGGGAACGCGGGAACAGTGCGGAGACATAAACAGATCATCCTGGTCCGAGGAGACTGGTGCCGTACAGAAGATGGAGAATGTCCTGTGTACTGCGGAGCTGTTTGTTAATTCAACGTTCAACATTTATTATGAATGACACATTTCTGCTTGTCATCAGAATATGAACCATTGCTGATTATGATGCATTCATGCTAGCTCAGTGTTATGTGGGCTACATGCCACTGTTCACTACTGCAGCGATTATAAAAATCAAGACAAATATGTGAGACATTTGGCTAAAACTGCAACAAGGAACATCTATACCCCATAATCATCGAGTAAAGTTAAAACAAAACACACACACACACACAAAAACAGTAAAGGATGCTTCTCCAAGCCTTTAGGCCTATTTGGGCATATAGGGCTAGACCTATATTTTACAGACCAATTGGCAATTGGTGGGTGATGTGGTCAGCATAATGCCGACCGCCTTCACTTCCCAAAATTGCACCTGGTACCCACTCAAGGCTAAGCTGACCTGGGAGCCAAGGTCATTTATGAAAAAAGTCATGCTTCGTCAGGACCCAGAACCCACAAACTTCCGATCCGCAGGTGAGCGTCTAATGACAGAGTAAAGGCTTAAGTGGAAAGGTCAGACAAAGTCACCTGAGGGTAGAAAAGGAAAAACTAAACAAGACAGATAAACAGCCTTAAAACTCAGGTTAAATAACAACTCGACTAAGACTGAGGGAATATTTATCAAACATAAGACAAAATACGTACTCCTCAGTACTATTGTAACTAATGGTTAAAGGTTAAGGCAGAGAGGACTGACTTAATTGCACTATGTATTATCCCATATGGCTCGGTCTTTCTCAGCAGAATGATTAACTGCCGGCCAAGAGCGTCACACAAAGCATAAACATCATAGCTCCAGTGACGACCCCTAGGGGTCTCTGTGAAAACTGCACTACTGTTATAACTTGCTGCAGTGATTAACAACAAACTACAGACCCAGAGGTTGACCATGCAGAAATAGACCACAGAAATATCAGAAAAACTAAAAAGTGCTCTATACAAAGCAAAGAGAAGGGCTTGTTCCAGAGATCTCTTCCTGCCCTGACACAGCGAGGCATTCCAAGAGTAGAGAAAAGAAGAACGGCAAAAAAATTATGTTATGTATTCCAGGAGTCATATTTTGGTCATATGTGGTCATATATATATATAATCTGGTTACATCAAGCGCCACAAAGGATTGGAAAAAATTATAGCAGAAGGAATGGTACTAGGAAGGAGCTGACTAACACCAAGATGGGCACAGGATATAAGTGACTCCTTGAGTATGAAAGTACTTGAGGCGGGAGAGCTGGCGAGAGACCGAGTTCTTTCAAGCAGTCTGTGACAAGAGTGACGTTCTGCAAAGGACCTGCTACATGATGATGATGATTCCAGGAGTAGTGAAAACAAGAACAACAACAACAAACTATGTCATGCCTACCTTGGCACTGTAATATTCAGCTCCATACCCATCCATCATTTGAACTTCTTTTACATACTGAAGCTCTGCCTTGATTGGGGGGACCCCCTTGAGTGCAGCATGCCCAGCTATGGCCTCAGCAACAAGTTCCGACGCCACAGTTTTATCCTGCATCAATGTCTGCAATAGAACATAATTATGTCAGTGGAGGAGCAGCTGGTCGTGTGGTTACAGTGCTCAGCTCTCATGCGGTACGGATATTTGTTTACGTCGGGGGTAAATATAAAAATCCTAATCCTAAAAATCTGACTGCAGTAGCCAAGCCACAAGGTTTTAAATCTTTAGATTATAAGGCATTATTCTTAGTACCACTGTAACGGACACTTTACGGTGAGTACCAGCACTTTTTTAAGACACTTTGAGATCTGTACCTGCACTTTTCTTTAGGAGGGACTGAGTTGTCTTGAGGTATGGCGTCCGCCTCGATTGCTGGAGTCCCAGGTTCACACCCGGGTGACGGCTGGGATTTTTTCCATGTGGACTTCTCATCATTTTCCCTTGCCACTAGGTAGTAAGATCGGGCAACCGTTGTATTGTTGCGCACATAAAAATTCCCTTGACAGGCGCTGCCTGAGCAAAATTTGGAGTTTAAAATCTACCCAAAATTATTTCATTATCCTCGCCGGAGCAACAGAGTTCATGCACTGAGCTGAGAATCTTCAGAGTCAGGTTTGAGTTAGAAGTAGAATGGAGCACTTATGGGTTACACCCTGTGTGCCATGGTGTTGATCATTTGTCTAAACTGAAACTAACTAAAGTAAACCTTTCTTTAGTGTAAAAAAACTTGTTATCTAACATTTATTTCTTTATCATCTTCTTCTTGTGCTTCATCATATTCTTCTTCTTTATCTAATTTGTTTTCTTAATCTTCTTCTTCTCTTTCTTTTTCTTAGTCATCTTCTTCTTGTGCTTCATCATCTTCTTCTTCTTCATCTGATTTGTTTTCTTAATCTTCTTCTTCTTAGTCATCTTCTTCTTGTACTTCACCATCTTCTTCATCTACCTTATTGTCTTAATCTTCTTATTTATCTTCCTCTTCATTTTCATTTTTTTCTGCAGCAGACACTGGTGATCATTTCTTCCTATCCTTCTGTCATCTTATATTTTAATGACACTGATGTTGCTGTTTCAGCCTTCCACACAGTTCTCTCCGTTTTCTTTAGTCACTTTGTCACATATACCTAATATCTTCTTTCTTTATCATAAATAAAATGACTTGCAGAGTCAATTCGCAGGAAAGGTCAAATGATTAACCTTGTGATCAAAGACTACCTTCGGAGATTGGGAGATAACATTAGCAGATTAAAATATTACCGAAGACAAAGATTACCTCAGAAGATCAAGAGCTGGCATTTAGAAGATTAAATATTTACCTTAGGAAACAGCAAATAGTCTTCTGCTGAATACTTGTCTGGTTCATAATCTCCAAACTCGGCTGTTAGGAATAAAGAATACTTTTTAAAAAATCAGAATGATTGTACACCGTCTACTGAGCTTACAACCTGTGTAAATTGCGACCATAAAAAAAAAAGAAGTTATTAAACACAACTAGACTGGTAAGCTCAAAAAGTTCCCAGAAATGATATAACAGAATTTATATTATGTATTTTTCAAATTAGATACAATAGTTATTCATACACTTACTGAAATCTTTGGGTTTATGTACAATGTTTATAACCCGACTGAATGAAAATAGTGTTGGAAACTATAAATTCGACCTACAACCAGTTCGACCCATGACCTTTTAGTCGGAATACAGCTCGGTTGTAAGTCAAGCAGACCATATAATTGGAACACAAGAGACATGACGACCTGACACACAAGCAATACTGAACAGTGTTACAAAAGTCCAAAGTTGAAACAACATGTTAAACCTGGAAAGATGTTAACATAAACTACTCATTTCACATCAAAAAACCTTTCTCACTTGACATACAGACTCAGCAACTAAACATCAAAACAACTACTCTTAACATCTAAACAACTACTCTTATCATCCAAACAACTACTCTTAACATCCACACAACCACCCTTAACCTCCAACAACTACTCTTAACATCCAACAACTTCTCTTAACATCCAAACAACTACTCTTAACATCCAACAACTTCTCTTAACATCCAAACAACTACTCTTAACATCCAAACAACTACTCTTAACAACTAAACAACCACCCTTAACATCCAAACAACCACCCTTAACATCCAAACAACTACTCTTAACATCCAATAACTACTCTTAACATTTAAACAACTACTCTTAACATAAAAACAACAACCCTTAACATCCAACAACTACCCTTAACATCCAATAACTACTCTTAACATCCAAAAACTACTCTTAACATCCAAACAACTACTCTTAACATCCAAACAACTACTCTTAACATCCAACAACTACTCTTAACATTTAAACAACCACCCTTAACATCTAACAATTACTTTTAACATCCAAACAACTACCCTTAACATCCAAACAACTGCTCTTAACATCCACACAACCACGCTTAACATCCAAACAACTACCCTTAACATCCAAACAACTACTCTTAACATCCACACAACCACAATAACATCCAAACAACTACTCTTAACATCCAAACAACTACCTTTAACATCCAAACAGCTACTCCTAACATCCAAACAACCACCCTTAACATCCTAACAAACACCCTTAACATCCACCCTAAACATACACACAACCACCCTAAACATCCACACAACTGCTCTTAACATCCACACAACCACCCTAAACATCCACACAACTGCTCTTAACATCCACATAACCACCCTAAACATCCACACAACTGCTCTTAACATCCACACAACCACCCTAAACCTCCACACAACTGCTCTTAAAATCCACACAACTACTCTTAACATCCACATAACCACTCTTAAAATCCAAACAACTGCTCTTAAAATCCACACAACTACTCTTAACATCCAAACAACTACTCTTAACATCCAAACAACTACTCTTAACATCCAAACAACCACCCTGAACATCTACCCTTATCATCCACAGAACTACTCTTAACATCCAAACAACTACTCAAACCACAAAATTACTTAAACAACAGCACAAAATATTCTAACATCAACGGTAACATCCACACAACTATTCCAACATCCACACAGATACTCTAACATCCATTCTAACATCTACACAATTACTGTAACATCCACACAACTACGCCAACATCCACACAACTATGCCAACATCCACACAATTACTGTAACATCCACACAGACATTCTAATATCCACATAATTACTGTAACATCCACACTATGCCTCTAGCATCCACACAATTACTGTAACATCCACACAACTACTCCAACATCCACACAATTACTGTAACATCCACACAACTACTCCAACATCCACACAATTACTGTAACATTCACACTATGCCTCTAGCATCCATACAATTAATGCAACATCCACACAACTACTCCAACATCCACACAATTACTGTAACATCCACACAACCACTCTAATTACTCTTAAATGTAAGAAAGATGTGAATCTGACCCTGCAAGCTGTAAGCAGCAAGTCTGATAGCCTGTTCAGTGGAGCATGGAAGCCGCCCATCTATAACATCTGTCTTCAATTGCAAATAGTAGTGATACCTGGAATAAAATATATAAAGGTAAAATAAATTTATATCACCATTTCTAACCCTTGATGGTATCCATCAGGAGAAGATGTTACTGCAGAGAAGATGTTATATATATATATATATATATCTTTATAGTTGTTTATTGTTTTCCTTTTTGTTTTTGGAAGTCGCCATTTGTTGGCGGGTAGACGCCTGCCTGCATATCGGAAAGTGGCGGGTTCAGGTTCGCGTTCTGACGGAGCCGGACTTTAAAAATGACCTTGACTCCCAGGTCAACCCTGCCTTGAGTGGGTACCAGGTGCAGTCCTGGGAAGTAAAGGCAGCCAGCATGATGCTGACCCCATCACCCATCAAGTGCTGATTGGTCTATAAAAATATAGGTCTAGCCCTATATTCCCAATACGCCTAAAGGTGTGGAAAAGGGTCCCTTACATTACTTCTTGTTACATTCTTCAAACAGCTACTTTGTACAGTTACAGTTAGTTACAGTTACAGTCTACTTTATTTAATAAGGTATTCAGCAGACAGACACTATTTTCTGGAACCCAATTCACTGAAATGTCAGGATAAGCTCTGGTATCAATAATCATAAGATTGTAAAGATGGCAAAATATTGTGCGCATCCTGAGAGAAAACATGCAAGGAACCACCGAACCGGCACTTCTTCTTCTTCTTTGCATCCACCAGCTGTAAACTCTGGTGGACAGTTCTGGTTGTTCATCCGCTTGTGGACTGCAGTCCTGTTCCAGAACCTGAGTATCACGTGTGCATCCATTTGACAGATCTGACACATCTGTGTGCAGACTGTTGGTTCCTTGCTTCTCAGGCAGATGCACTCCGACTTCAAAGAAAGCTCTTAATTAGTCGACTTTTACGACATGCTTTTGGGTAGGCAGTGGGTCTATTCTTGTTTTTCCTATAATAGGGCCTTGGAACCCACATGGGGAAAACAGGCACTGAATGGGGAAACAAATAAGTCCAGAAATGAGGATATTCTAGAGACAAAATAAGATTACTGCTGGACTGGATTCAATCCACAATATTGAAAAGATTGCACAGAACAGAGGAACAGAACTGTGAGCCCTGTGTGATAGATAAATGACAAAACAGGATGATGATGATAATGGTAGTGATGGTGATAGTGATGATGATAATGATGGTGATGATATCATCATCATCATCATCAGGTGCCGTGCCGACTGGCGTAGGTGATCATGCCTCTCCATAATCCACAATCTCCTGCAGCATGTATCACTTTGTGTGCCGACACACATGCCATGCAACAAGACTGTCAAGAATCTTATCTCGTTGTCTTCCTGTATCCCTTCTTCCACAGATCTTTCCAGTGGTCACAACATGTTCTATTTTCTCTCTTCTCATAACATGGCCGAAAAATGATGACTGTCTCCTTCTGATGTCTGTGATAAGTTGTCTTCAGGCTCCCGCCTCTTTCAAAACCTCTTGCTTGCTCTTTTTGGCTGTCCAATGTTTTCTAAGCATTCTCCGTAAAACCACATCTCTGAGGCCTCAAGAAATTGTTTGGCCTGCCTACCGATTGTCCAGGATTCACAGATGATATCATATGATAAGCAAAACATTAAACATTCGGGAATAACTGGGGCAGACATACCTGGCAACCTCATCTGGAATTTTATGAGCTCCAATGACATAGAACATCACTCCAAAATACAAACTGTGAGGATGCATTCCCGGCTGAGCATGTTTATCCAGCTGTTTCTTCAAAGGCTTCTCCAGGTCGACCCAATGAAAGTTGAGTTTCTTGGTGACATACCGAAGCCCAAAGTAATGGCTCTGTTAAAACATAATGTTATCTCATTTACAATTTATTAAAGAGGATAACCATAACTGACTCACAGAGCATGTTGAGAAAGGTGAAGACAAATATGCTCCAGGCAGAGCGGTTAGCACTGCTTTAGCGGTCCCGAGTAGTTAGCGTCCTTTGGATATTTTTTTACAGGCAACACCGGTATGTTGGGAAATGAACAGGCAGACAAACTGGTTGGTTCAGTAACACCTGGTATGAACTGATGCATGACAAGCTAGATGTAGTGAGGGTTCTTTGGGAGCGAATGACCAGTGCAGAGGTACAAACAGATCATCGCGGTCTGAGCAGAATGGTGCTGCAAGGAGGGACCAGGGTATCTGGCCGATGCTCAACACTCAGGGGAAGGTGAGACGGAATACAATCATACAGTTAGTGGTACCTTCAGAACTGGAGCTTGCTGCTGAAGAAGGGGATGGAGCGCTTATAGAAATATATGGTGTATTGTAATGTCGATTTTTAATTCAACATTTGTTCGTGTGGGTTCAGGGGTCGCATTGTAGGGAAAACAAGAACAGGCCTACCCAAAAGCATGTCCTAAGAGTCCAATAACTGGGAGCTTTCTTCGAAGTCAGACTGCATCTGAGTGAAAGGCAAGAAACCAACAGTTATCGTACAAATAAGTCAGATCTGTAAAATGGATGAGCACGCAACACTCAGGTTCTGTAACAGGACTACAGTCCAGAAGTGGGCGACCAGAACTTTCCGCCAAAGTTTGCAGCTGGTGAATGTGTAGAAGAAAAGAAACAATTTAACATTTTAAAAAGACGCAGAGGTTGTGGAGATAATTTCTGTACCAACAGAAAGAGATTTAGGATTCTCCTGGCTGGTTAGTTAATCTAACAAAGAGGTTCTGGCCAGAGTGAGAATAAAAAAGAATTGCTGAAATTTTTTTTTTAAAGACAGACAGGATATTACAGAACCAACTCCAGCATTTTTTATTTTTTTATTTTACTAGGCAAGGTTATGCTCAGTAGTTTGCCAGTGCTTTATGAACGGTCAGTTCTGGATACCACTGTCAAAATCAACATAAAGCCAAATCAACTGCAGCGGGGATTGAACCCAGCACCTCGGCATTATAGCACATTTGCAACGCCTAAGCCACAAACGCTGACAACAACAAACAATAAAACATTTCATGAAACAAGTTAAGGCAAATGAGCAAGAGGCAGGAAGCAATACAAGTGGAAGGATGATTTTAGGAGGTAAATGAACTCTCCTTTCTTTTCTTAGTGTTCACTAGCTGTAAACTTCAGCAGAGAAGAGTTCTAGTTGTTTGTTCATTTCTGGACTTTGCTCTTGATCAGAACTTGAGTTTTACAAAAATCATTTTAAAGATCTGGCTTATTTTTATTTTTTAAATGCAGGTTGTTGGTTTCTCACCTCATGCAGATTCTGGCTTCAAAGGAAACACCCCTAATTGGTCACATTTTACAACATGCATGGTTTTTTTTTTGGGCGGGGGGGGGGGGGGGGGGGGGGGGGGGGGAGTAAGTCTATTCGTTTCTCCTCTAAAATTGGTCCTGGCCCCACACAGGAAGCTGGATGAACAGCTGTCCATGTAAAGCCAGGGTGAAAGACTGTGTTAGAAACCCACGGCAGCCAAACCTTATTGTATAGACGGCTGGACCCCTGATTGATTGAACACTCTTGTAACAAATTTCATTTTTATCAATTACCATTACATGGATCAGGATGTGTTTGATGTTAACTTGTTAACACACTCGGTGAAAAAGCAAGAATGACAACGGGTGTGGTAAGTATGGAAACTCTTCGCTAGATGTTGATGAGGTAGACGGAGCTAATATGGGCTTGGCCTGAGTGCTGTGATGTCGAATCCTTACCCAGATGAACTCAGATGTTAACAGTTTCAGTTTATGTACCGTTTTGTGTTAAGACTGCTACTTGTTTACTTTAATGGAGTTGGTAACGAGCATCATAATGCTTGGCTTGGATGTTGTGATTCCTGCTGAGTTCTTCTTCTTCTTCACATTCACCGTCTGTAAACTCCAGCCGGAAGTTCTGGATGTTAATCCACTTCTGTACTTTAGCCATGTTCCAGAACTTGAGTTTTGCGTGCCCATCCATTTTACAGATCTTGCTTATTTGTATGCTTCTCAGGGAGATTCACTCTGGTTTCGAAGAAAATCACCAGTTAGTCGACTCTTATGGCAAACTTGTAAGGGAGGTAGTGGGTCTATTCTTTTTCCCCCCCAACAATGAGGCCCTGGAGCCCGAAGTTTAGTTCTATAGTTGCCTTTTATAAATCTAAGTGTGCTCATTCAAGATTGTCAGGTTGAAATAGTGTTTCACTTTCCTGCACCAATTTATTAGCTCCAAAATTTCCATGCATGTTGCAAAAAGACAAAATCCCTGGTATACTAACCCTTTTGATTTATTCGCATTAACTCTTTCAGTCCCAAGAAGCATGTGATAAGAGACTGGCTTTGTGCTATGAATCCCAAACATTGCATAATGTCTTATCTAAGTGTTTACATTTTGTCACAGACATCTAATCTCCCTTACTCAGGGACCACTTCTGCTGCGAAATTCAACTGTCTGCAATGAACAAAGTGATTTTTTTTTCATAGTGACCACTTACATCCTTGAATATCTGCTATGAAAAGCTTCTGGAATTAAAAAAGTAAAGTCACACTTGTCAGCTCTTAAATGTTTAATTCTTCAGAAGTGAGTATGGACATCATATCTCTGAAGTCAGTTATTTGTTTCTCCTTAATTTTCTCCAGCTGAAAGCCATAAAAATGTCAGATAAAAGAGAAATGCAAACTGGCACATAATAGTTTTAAAAAGAGATACCATGCTAATAAAGCAATATAGGTTAAAGGTTAAACTCGAGAGTATTGTCTTTAAGGCACCGGGTTTTATCCTATATGGCTCGGTCTCTCACCACAGAAGGGCTTGCCGGCTGCCCTGAGTGTCGCATGAAACATGAACACCCTAGCTCCAGCAACGATTCCCACGGGTCTCCACACAAAAATACACTCGTGAATCGAGCAAGGCAGGCATGACCTTCAGACAGCTTGACCACTTTACCACAGAGACCCCATAATCAAAAGAGACATGCAAACTGGCATAAATAAAGAATAAAAAGGGTATTGTACTAATGTCAGTGTTTGTGGCTGTTGGTTCTGTAAAGGATATGCAGCTAACTAAACTGTACCAATAAAATGAGCACTAACCTCAGCTAGTTCGATCCTCTGTGCGATACTGTTTAAACATTCCTGCCCGGTACTGTCAGCAGTCAATGTGCACTCCAGGTACGCATTATCCAACAGATAAACACCAACAATGAACACATTTTTGGTAGATATGTCGTATTTTCTAGTCTTTTTCAGCCATTTGAACGGCATCTTCAAGATGTGCAATAATGCTAGGTGTATATCTGCAGAAATTTCAAGAATTCATTCATGTATATTTCTGCAACAATTTTGTGAGAAATGAATTTGATATTGACATCTTTCAATGTTTTCGCAGCCCGCGAGTTGAATAGCCCTGCTCTAGACCAAGGAAGGGTGAGTTTTGGGTGAGGAGGGGGGTTCACACGCAATCCATAGTAAACACCCAGATTTTCTGATAACACAATTTTTCTGTTGGCTTATTGTCGCAAGACGCCGCTTCAAGTAGACAAGATACTTTTAGCTGACGTACCACCCCTTTGTGACCCTTCTATTTTTCCCTCTTACATGCGCCCAGTGACTTCATTTTCGTCATAAGACGCATTGAGAGATATCCCGGACGAGCCCCCACTTGTCGTGGAACAGGTTCCTTTTACACTCACTAAAGTGGTGTTATCTTGTTAGGAACCGAGACAACTGTCTTTTGGTGCAAAGAGCAGACAGTGTCCCTGGATACTCAGATACAGACTCGAATTGGCTCGCGAAAGAAGGTGAGCTGCCTGAATATCCCCAGAAAAGGGATAAGGGAATTTAGATGCCTAAACGCTTAGACAGAGCAGATTACCCCTCCCGACAATTTCCCTTTCTGGTAATAAAATTAAGCCCCCATCTAGACTATGTATATTGTTAGACAGCACTGACACCATACATACATCTAGAAATAGAAATAAACTTTAACTATGAGTTTAAATCAATCATAGGAATGTTTATTAAAATTAAAGTAAAATTCAATCATCTACTTTTGAAAATACATTATTCAAACTAAGTAGGATGAAAGATAAAAATGATAGTAACATGAAACTGTCGTCATGAGAGGATCAGTGGGAAATAACATACAACAATTACCACCTGGAGTTTCCCAGAGGATCATCCATTTCAAAGACTGAGGTGGAATGTCGGATCTGTCCCAAGCACCAAGATCTTCCTTAGGGCACTCCAATCATCAGCTACAACCAGCCTGGCAGTGGTTTGGAAGCTCGTCCTGCCACAAGGAATCTGTCCTCGGCTTTTCAGCAGCTGGATTTAGATGTAACTATATGGTCATGTTGCTAGGGTTTTTAGGCGGCGAGAAAGACAAAATCCTGGCCAAACACCGGATCCCGCTGTGAGAGCAGACGGCCAGGCATTTTACTTCAGGTCAGCAAGCAGGTGTTAGAGCGGGCCGTTTTGGCAGAACTTTGTCTTTCTCGCCGCCTAAAAACCCTAGCAACATGACCATATAGTTACATCTAAATCCAGCTGCTGAAAAGCCGAGGACAGATTCCTTGTGGCAGGACGAGCTTCCAAACCACTGCCAGGCTGGTTGTAGCTGATGATTGGAGTGCCCTAAGGAAGATCTTGGTGCTTGGGACAGATCCGACATTCCACCTCAGTCTTTGAAATGGATGATCCTCTGGGAAAACTCCAGGTTGTTAATTGTTGTCCTATGTTATTTCCCACTGATCCTCTCATGACGACAGTTTCATGTTACTATCATTTTTATCTTTCATCCTACTTAGTTTGAATAATGTATTTTCAAAAGTAGATGATTGAATTTTACTTTAATTTTAATAAACATTCCTATGATTGATTTAAACTCATAGTTAAAGTTTATTTCTATTTCTAGATGTATGTATGGTGTCAGTGCTGTCTAACAATATACATAGTCTAGATGGGGGCTTAATTTTATTACCAGAAAGGGAAATTGTCGGGAGGGGTAATCTGCTCTGTCTAAGCGTTTAGGCATCTAAATTCCCTTATCCCTTTTCTGGGGATATTCAGGCAGCTCACCTTCTTTCGCGAGCCAATTCGAGTCTGTATCTGAGTATCCAGGGACACTGTCTGCTCTTTGCACCAAAAGACAGTTGTCTCGGTTCCTAACAAGATAACACCACTTTAGTGAGTGTAAAAGGAACCTGTTCCACGACACTTATTTAATAAATCCCTCACTATGCCTCTGTCAAGATACACCTTCTGAAGCTCTCATATATATTCCTAAATGTGTCTCTTCAAGCAAGTTATTTCAGAAATAATGTTATTCAAGGGAAAGTGGTTCTGGTGATTGCTGTTTAGGTTATCACTTTTTGGTAAATGTTATTCTGATTTTTGCTTTTTGCATACGAACATGCTGTTGTTGTGTTCTGCTATTTCATGAGCTAAAGATTATATTATTATATAGTAATTTTACACCAGCCCCATGGGCCAGTATCAACTGCTTGGTGGGCCAGTATCAACTGCTTCGTGAGCCAGTTTTTACCAGAGGGCCATAGTTTGCCAACCCTTGCTCTAGACCCTGTTCCACCCTTCAGTGTCAGGTTTTGAAGAGGCATCCTAAGCAAGCCTTGGTGTGTGTGCTGCACAGTTGCTGGTATTCATAGCTTTAGGTATTCCAACTATACATGATTTTTGTGGTTGAACTCTAGCTTTGCTTACGTTGTTTCTTTGGTGCACACTCCTGTGGGAGCCTAGATATGCTGTCTTTTTATGTAGTTTAGCACTGTTTCTATCCCCTGTTGTTTCCTGATTATGTAATTTCTGATGTTTTTGCTCTATGCATTTCATCTCATAAAACACTTTATTTCATTGCTGATTACCTTCCCAGGCATTTGGCTGTCTTCAGATTACATTCAAGGCATGAAAATTCGTCCTCTTCTTCATCTTTGTTCACCGGATGTAATCTCCGGCAGAAAGTCCTAGTTGTTCGTCAATTTTGGACTTTGGGTTTGTACCAGGGCCTGAGTTTTGCATGCACATCAATTTCACTGGCTTATTTGTGTGCAGCTGGTCCTTTCTTGCCGCTCGGGCAGGTGCACTCCAACTTGGAATAAAGTCCCCAGTTAGTCGACTCTTACGACATGCTTACTGGGGAGACAGTGGGTCTATTCTTGTTTCCCCCCCCCCCCCCCCACAAAGGGGCCCCAGAACCCACACAGGGACAGTTAACTCAGAACAACTGGTTTACTCACAGACAGGTAGGCTCTAGTTTAACAAGCCACAATCATATAAATCATGACAACAGAGCACACTTCGGTCACTTCGGCATAGACACCATAATCAAGTATTTACTGCAGTAAACTCTGCATATCAAGGAGTTATTGGGAAATAAGTAGTCAGGGGTCAGTTCCCTGTTACCTAACAATTTTTCAAAGCTTTTCAACTGGGTTTTTTTTTTTTAAAGAACAAAAATTATTTTACCACAGTAGACACGTGTGAATTTCGATTGCTCACGGAAAACAAAAAGATGTACAGTAAATTAAACAAAGTCAGGATGCTGAATGTTCCAGTAATACACCAGTCGCAAACATTGACATGCTTCCAATAATCCTTCTACGCGCGGTGCAGATGGGGAGCTAAACTAGATGGCTGTGACTCATGAGCAGCAGCTACCGCAACTCCTGCAACTTCCCCCAATTTATCTGCTTGTGAGTCCCAGCCATCAAGTTTAGCATGGGCGGTGAAAACTGTGTTACCAATGTGGCACTAGCTGCGCCTTGTTCCGATCATATTTAGCCAAGTTTCAATAGCACCACAGCATCAAAGAGCAGATCTTGGGGCACTATTTGCGACTTCTGTGCCACAATTTTCAGAAATAAAGGCCTCAGTTATCGCTAAATAGTCGATTTTGTCATTTTCAATTTTTTTCGTTCCTTATTATTTTCGAGTTGAAGTTTTTTAATGTTTACAACACAGGACCTAATGAGGCCGTGTCAGGGTGTGTTTTTAGCCACCATAATATGTGGCCGTTATTCGGAGGATAGCCAGATGTGGGTTTATAGGCAGTCTTTAAAATTATTTTTTCCCATTTTCTTTTTTAATTATTGAGTTTCATAAAATCAACAGCTATATTAATAAAGTAATTCTAACTACTAAGCACATTTTAGGTACTTTATTTTTAATTCACCCGAAACAAATAACATTTTGGAGTTTCCAGGAAAGTCCAAGGATTCCTTTTTGGTGTTAGGGTTAGATTTAAGGGCTATCTTCCGAATAACGATCCCAAATTATCCAGGCCGAAAATATGCCCTAACAGGGCCTCAGTCACATGTAAATTGCGGGCCTGTTTCCGACGACTATACTGCCACCGCCAAGAGTATCTCCCGCGCCGCTATGTGCAGCGCAGAGTGCAGCTAAACTAGATTGCTGGGACTCACGATCAAATAAAATGAAGGGAGCTGCAGGAGATGCGGTAGCTGCTGCTTGTGAGTCCCGGCCATCTATTTTAGTCCCGCTACGCGTGTCGCAGGAGATACTTTCGGAGGGGACTTTAACTCAGCGGAAGCTTTTCCGCGGTATGCAGTGTAGTCGCCAAAAAGTGTGGCCAGCAGCAGCTTCTGCATCTCCTGCAGCTTTGCTCGTGAGTCCTAGCCATCTAGTTTAGCCCCAATTCACGCCGCATGAGCGGCATTGGGGCCACGTGGCAGTGGCGGTTGTTGGCAAAAAAGTGCGCAACTGACATGTGACTGCGGCTCAAAAAGATATTTTGAGGCCGCCATCTTTAGTGCCCGTTATTCGAAGGATAGCTGGGACCAGTATTCCGAGAATAGCCGATTTAGGGGTAGGGTTCATGGGTTTCTCTGAGGTGGTCGGGTCTGACAAAGATATTAACCCTAACCCCAATTCATAACACCCCTAGAATATTAGACTTTCCCAACAAAAACTGTATATTCTTTGCTTGGGGTGAATTTTTTTTTAAGTATTATTTTGGCTCTCCTTTGAATCGTTCCCCAAAATGGCGGCTTTAATATGATGGCGTTCGAAAGAAAGCTAAATTGGCCAATTTCTGGCCATAAAGTATCCAAAAATATCCGAATGCGGGTCAGTTCTTTTATAAATATATGTGCCGGCTCCGGATAACGAAACAAATGCTCTGACAGGGTCTCGGCGATACGTTGCTTACCGACCTGCTTCTGGGAGTGTGCCTCACCGCCGAGCGTATCCCCCATGCTGCTACGCACGGCGCGGATGGGGGCTAAACT